CCCCTCCCCGAGCTGTGGGCGCCCACAGACAGGTTAGTGGTGTGGCCCAGTGTGGCCACCCAGTGTGGCCACCAACCCAACCCCGTGGGCAGCACCCAGAGGCTCCAGCGCCCCCAAGTGGGCACCACTGTCCTAGCGCCTCCCCACCTGCAAAAGGGGAAGGATGGCACCACCCAGAGTGAGGGTCCCCCACCGGCTCCACCCGGCACAGCTGCCCCCCACAGCCCCCCACCTGCTCTGAGAGACGTGGGTGCAGAGTTGGACCCCCAGGAAGCCAGCAGGCGGGACTGTGGTCCATGCAGGAGCCCACGGCTTCCCTGCTGTGGCCTCTGCAGCCTCAGGCCCCTCCTGTGGTTGGGGACCCCCGTGGCCATGTCACCTCCCTGCCAAAGGGGCTTTGCGCCGTGAGTGAGACAGAGAGGGCCCTGGGGACGGGTGGCCCAGTGTCATCACAGACCAGGGTCAGGGGAGGGAGAGGCGGGAGGAGGAGGGAGCAGCCCCAGCCGGAAACGCCAGAACAGACTCTCCCTGGAGCCCGTCCTGTCCCGCTGACATCTTCATCCCAGGACCTCTGACCTCCAGAACTGCAAGGCGGTGAATTCTGTGGGTCAGAAGGGGGCACACGCGGCCACGCCACACTGTGCAGGGCCAGCCAGTCACCCGTGCCCTGAGCAGGGACACGCTCAGCAGGCCTTGCCCAGAAGAGCGCACACGGCCTTGCCCCATGACCCCGGTGGAAAACCGTCTCCCTGCCCTGTGGTGGTCAGCAGCAATGTCGCTGCACTTCCTCTGTCCCTGCCTGCCAGCTTTCTCTGCAAGGGGCATCCTGGGCTCCACCCTCACTGCACCCTCCCTGGACCCGAGAAACAGGCGCCTGGCCCCAGAGCTGCCTCCAAAGGGGACATTGGAGCCACGGACGAGTGACAAGTGTTTCCCGTTCCTTCCCTTCCCTTCCCTGTAAGGCTCACTCACAGACGACTAAAGCACATGGACAGGACAGGCGTGGTGGCTCACGCTGTCATCCTAGCACTCTGGGAGGCCAAGGCGGGAGGATCGCTCGAGGTCAAGAGTTTGAGACCAGCCTGAGCAAGAGCGAGACCCTGTCTCTACTAACAACAGAAAGAAATTAATTGGCCAGCTAAAAATATATAGAAAAAATTAGCCGAGCAAGGTGGTGCATGCCTGTAGTCCCAGCTACTCGGGAGGCTGAGGCAGGAGGATCGCCGTTAGCCCAGGATTTGAGGTTGCTTGTGACGCTAGGCTGAACGCCACGGCATCTACTTAGCCGGCCAACAGAGTGAGACTCTGTCTCAATAAATAAATAAAATAAATAAAAAATAAATAAAAAAATAAAAAGACGCAGACAGGCAGACATCTCCTACAAGCAGCCCGCTGACAGTCGCCCGTGCCTGACCCAGGAACACCCGTGAGGTCCGTGTGTCTCTGTCTCCCAGCTCTCTGCCCAGTGGGTCGTGTTGTGGCAACGCGTCTGCGTCCTTTTTTTTTTTTTTTTTTTTTTTGAGACGAGTCTCACTCTGTGCCCAGGCTAAGTGGAGTCCATGGCGTCAGCCTAGCTCACAGCAACCTCAAACTCCTGGGCTCAGGAGCCATCCTCAAGCCATCCTCCTGCCTCAGCCTCCCGAGTAGCTGGGACTACAGGCATGCGCCACCATGCCCGGCTAATTTTTTTGTATATTATATTAGTGTTTGGCCAATTAATTCCTTTTCTATTTATAGTAGAGACAGGTCTCAGTCTTGCTCAGCTGGTTTCGAACTCCTGACCTCGAGCAATCCGTCTGCCTCGGCCTCCCAGAGTGCTCACAGGCGTGAGCCACAGCGCCCAGCCCACTATGGCTTTTGCTTCTGACGCTCCAATAGTCCTGTCGCCACGACACTGGCTGTCACAGGCGGGAGAGAGGGCGGCCCATGCTGGGATCCCCTGACTGGCAAGTTCCCAGCCTGGCAAAGCCACACGCCCGGGGGCAGGCGGGACACAGCTGCCCTGGGGTGCTCCCAGGACTCCGGCAGTAGATGTTGGAGCCAGGAGGGAACCTGGTCTCAGGTGCCCGAGTTCCTAACACAGCAGGTGGTGCAAGGAGGCTCCCATCCTCCTGGGCGCAAAATCCTTTCGTAGCTCTGGCTGGGAAGGGGCCGGGGAAGGCGTCCCAAAGGTGTCCCTGGGTACAGTCAGGCTCTCGGGCTGGGAGCCCTGCACGCCGAGCTCAGGACCTCCCCTGGGAATCACTGGGGGGGAGGGGAGGGGCTTGGCGGGCACTGGCCGGCACCTGCCTCTCACCTGGGCAGGTGGCTCCACCTGGTGGAGCTCACGCCTGGGGCAGCTTCAACCAGCCACTCCAGACAGGCCTCCCGGGCGCCGCTGGCACCAGGAGCTCCAGGGCCTGTTTAATGTTGGGATCTCTCAGTTTGCAGAGAGCTGCACGGGGCGGCCCCTTCACGAAGGGGCTGATTTCTGCAACCCTGCCTCCCTGCCGTGACCTTGGGCAAGTGACCGCCCTCGGTCCCCTAGCTCTGCAGCAGAGACTGCCTGTCACAGAGCCGCACCAGGACACGCCGGGCGACTGTCATCTCCCTGCTGTTATCGTCCGGGGCTGTGAGTCCAGGCACGTCCCCTCGGACCCTGCCCACTTGGGGAGCCACGCGGCTGGGCTGGGCTCAGCCCCAGGTCCACGTAGTCCCGTCCCCTGCCACGGGGGGCAGCGTTCAGCCTGATGCTCCGGGGCCGCCACGTCCCTCCTCCATCTCGGCAGCCACGTTCCCACCGCGGGCCCAGAGCAGGGAAGGGAGCCGTCCCTGTGGGCGTCTGCTGTGTCCTGGGGAGTGTCCTGGTCAAAGCCGGCGCCAGGAGATGTCGGTCCCGGGCAGAGCACCATGCCCAGGGATCCAACCATGTGCTCTCCGGCACTGACCCCACACGTGGTCTGGCCGACCCGTGGCATGGCCATAGCTTGCTCGGCCAAAAGGGGCCTGGAGCTGGCAGTGGCTTCGGCCCCACCGGCGCTGCCTCCCGGCCCCACTGCGGTGAGGGTCCACCTGTGGCCGTGAAATGGGGCCCTCTGGGGGCCGTGGCTGCCTGACCTGAGGGCCTGGTCTCTTCCTTGGGACGAGGGGAGCAGCCTCCTGCAGCACCAGCCCCCAGCCCGGAGCTTACCCACACGGGACCTGCCTGTCCTCGCTCCACTCGCTGGCCGTGATGGGACAGCCTGGCAGTGTGGGCCCAGAGCTTGTCGGGGGGCTGGGGTTCCTGGGGCGGCTTTAGCCAAATTGCTAAGGACAAAGACCCACACGCAGCCCCTCCCAGCACACACACACAGAGCAACACACATGTACACACACACGCACACGCATGTGCGCGCACACGTGTACATCCGCGCACACGCATGTGCATACGCACATCCATGCACACACATGCAAATGCACACGAGCACCCATGCCTGTGTGCACACAAAAGCACACATGTACCTGCACACATATACACATGTGTGCACAGCTGAGACCCATGGGTTCCAGTCTTTGAGTCCTGGGGACCCAGGCCCCAGGTCCCAGCAGCCCCGCCCCCCCAGCCACACATTCCGGGCCACACGGCTGATCTCTCCACGCTGGGTCCCTTCTTGTACTCACAACTGGCCGGCCACGTGGGCTTGTTGTGAGAATGCAGCGCAGCGTTGTTTGCGCCAAGCTCAGGCGGTGCCGGGAACACGGAAACACCGCGTGGGCGAGAGCTGCTCCCAATGGGGGAGGGGTCCCCCCCCCCCCGCCGTGCAGGGGCCTGGACAGCCTCTCTGCAGGGGTGGGGGAGGGGCGGGGGGGAGACAGCCGGGCGGTGGGGCTCCCGTCTGACAGCCCTGCGCCGGCCCCCGCACCAATTAGGAGCACTTAGTCACAATTTCCTGCCCGCGCTTCCTCTGGCAGCAGAAGAAAGAACAGCCCCGGTGCCAAGCCTCTCTGCCCACTCGCCAGCCCACAGCCGGCTCCGCAGGGAGGCAGGTGGCCAGTGGGCGGGGGCACATTGCAAGCGACAGGGATGGAGCTTTGGCCCTGCGGCCGCTGACACGAGGGGGGCCGGCCATGCTCCCCTGTGAAGCCGGCACGTGTTCACCAGGCAGGGATTTGGGGCCAAGCTGGGGGCATCACCCCCTTCTTCCTTCCTGCAAGCTGTCTAGGGAGGAGGGCGGGTCCTTCAGCTCCTGCCATATATTAGATAACAAATTGCACCAAAACTCAGGGCTCAGAACTACAACGAAAGTGGGCTGACTCACACCCTTCCCATGGGATGGAACTGGGAGGGGGTCAACTTCGAGGTTCCGGCCGTGAGGTCCCGTCCAGACGTCCACTCCTACGTGGGCGGCTTGGCCAGGGCAGGGGCCTCAGTTTCCCCCTATGATTGCTTGGGGGGCCTCACACAAGGCCCCGAGCCAGGATGGGGAGGAGGCATCTCAGCACCCGGCCTTGGAAGTCACACTGGGTCCTATGTCTGCTCAGGGTCACAGAGAGGGGACATGAACCCGGCTCTCGACAGAAAACCCACGTGTTTTCAGGTTGCCCGACCCCGGGCGGGCGAAGAGCAGGCTCAGCGGGAAGGGGCAGGAGGAGGGGCTGGGTGTCCACATCCCCGTGGGGGGACGGCTCTGGGAAGAGACCCTCCCCCATGGCCCCGCCTGGCCGAGGGCTGCTCCCTGGGCCCTCGAGGCTGCCCCCAGTGCTGGGTGCAGACCCCACTGGGCCTCCTGCTTCCTTCCAGGACCGCCACTGACCGACGCCCCTCGGTTGGCCCGGCCCCGCGTGGAGCCCAGGAGCCGTCTGGGCGGTGGCGGGACCCCACCCTCAGGCCCCACAACCCTGCGGCCCCGACACGTGCCTGGAAGGGCTGTTCTCTGGAGCCTCTGTCCTCCCCAAGGACAGCAGTGGCGGCCCTTCCGGAATTCACGTGGCAGCCAGGTTGCTATGGCGATGCCTATTATCCCTGCCTAACAGAAGATGAATCAGGAGCTAAAAATAGGCAGAGAGGACGGACGGACTGACTGAAGGGTGGGTGGGCCTGGACTCGGGGTCAGGACCACATGTTCTTCTTGGACGAAATAATCTGGGGGAAACTCGGTTGGGAACCCCGGCAGGGCTGGAGCCTCGGGCAGGTGGCTGCACCTGAGTGTGCCCAGGTGGCCCCGAGGCTCGCCCGGCACCCCCAGCTGGGTCCCCAAGACCCCTCCTCCCCCAGCAGACTTGGACCTGGGGGCTCCGGCTGCCCAAGGCCCACACCCTCACCAGGGCCGATTTCAGGCCTGGGGAGTCTCGTGACGCTGAGTGGAGTTTGCTGGCGGTGGCAGGGGTGGGGGTCATCGCACCCTCTGGCCCCCCCAGTACCCCTTGGACCCTGGGCGGGTCCTCAGCAGCCCAGGAGCGGCCCTGGGGAGTCCCTGCTCCACATGGGGGGCAAGGAGGGGGCCAGGCCTCTGTGCAGCAGGGTCAGTAACGGCGCCAGACAGCTGTGGGGACCAGGAGACACTTTATTACGTCGGACGCCCCCAGACCCCGCAGACTCGGCGCTGGGTGGCAGCAAGGGGCAGGAGGGAGGGCTGTGGGGGCCGCCAGGCAGCGGGGCTCTGGCCCCCCAGGACTGGGGGCTGCGAGGGGGCACCTCCCCCAACAAAGGTCAGGCCCCTCCCCTGGCAGGGCCACCCCGGTCCCCTGCCGACCCCGCCTGATTTCGTTCCCAGCCCTCGGGGCCCAGGCGCCGGGACAACAGGAGGGGCCTGGGCGGGGACCAGAGGCCCCTGGGGAGGTTGGGGGGGGACCCCAGGTGCTACAGATGGGACCCCGAGGACGCTGCCCCTCTCCGTGGCCTTCAAGGTGTGGAGCGGGGGCCGGCCTCGGGGGTGTGGGCGCCCAGGCCCCGTGGGGGCAGCTCCCTGTGGCTGTAGTACTCCACCAGCTGCTTGGGCACCTCCGCCAGCACGCACTTGGCCAGCGCCGCGGGGGACGCCTGGGCGGGGTGACAGGCAGGGACGGCAGTGCCACCTGCACGTTCAGAGCCCCTGCCCCCATTCCACGGCCCCAGCCCGCCCTCACCCTGCAGAGCCGGGTCCCTGGCGCAGGTGGTGGCCCCACGGCGTGGTGGGGTCGGTCTGGGCCCACCGGGAGCTGGCCCGGGGCAGGGAGGTCCCGGGAGGACGGGACACAGAGGAGGCTGCAGCACCCACCTGGTGACCCGCCCCTGAGCGTGACCTGCGCTCGCTCGGGGACCCACCCGCCCCGCGGGGAGATGCCCCCGCTCCCCAGGCAGAGAGGGGGAGAGTCTGTGTGGGATGGGGGCCTGCACAGCCGGCACCCACGCTGACCACCATGCCACACGCGTCCACCTGACGTGCACGCCTCATCATAGGACGTGTGTCCGTGTGTGTCGTCGTAGGACTCCATGTGTGTGTGTCTCACTGGAGATCATGTATGTGTCCATGTGACAGGTGTCTTACTGTAGACCACATGTGTCCCTGTCATGTGCATGTCTCATTGTAGGACACGTGTGTCTGTGTGACATGTGTCTCACTGTAGACCACGTGTCCATGTGACGTGTGTCTCACTGTAGACCATGTGTGTCCATGTGACGTGTGTCTCACTGTAGACCATGTGTGTCCATGTGACATGTGTCTCACTGTAGAGCATGTGTGTCCATGTGACGTGTGTCTCACTGTAGACCATGTGTGTCCATGTGACGTGTGTCTCACTGTAGAGCATGTGTGTCCATGTGACATGTGTCTCATTGTAAACCATGTGTGTTCCTGTGGGATATGTATGTCGTGCTGTAAGACCCTATATGTGTCCCTGTGACATGTGTGTCTCATTGTAGCACCACATGTGTTCCTGTGGGATATGTATGTCTCGCTATAGAACACCACATGTGTCCGTGTGACATGCGTGTCTCATTGGAGGACATGTGTCTGTGTGATGTGTGTCTCCTTGTAGACCATGTGTGTCCATGTATGACGTGTGTGTCTTGCTGCAGGACTCTGTGTGCCCATGTGACGCAAAAATCCTGCTGGCCCTGGGTGGAACGTGCCCGCTCTGCTGCCTTGAGCCGGCGCCTCCCCAGGGACCCCCGCCCCCCCGCAGCCCCTCCCCCTGC